TTTTTTTGTCATAGCGCATTTTTCATCCATTTCTCTATGCGTGATCACCTTGTCAGTTATGCTACTCACTGTGGGGCACCATGTGTATCAGAAAAATACCCAAGCGTGGATTACATTACTCAGTAGGTCTGGGTTAGGACTTGGTTAGGTAATATCAGGAATATAATACGATAATCTAAATCTTAGTTACGGACATAATTTCCATCAACTTTCTACGATTGTATTTTTGCATGCATCGGTACCCTTGGCATAGAAATACACTGGTGTAGAATTGAAATACATATTTAGATTCAAAACGAATGGAATAAGTAATTCTGAAATTATCAAACGATCAATATTCGAATATACATGCATCGAACATTCAAAACTACGTGCACCCCGCCAATTTTCATTCGTTAAATAAAAGTCAAACATTTATCAATAACATTAATCATTAATCTTATAGCGAGTAAAATTCAATTTCCGTCCTTTCAGTTGTAAAACAAATTACATTTAATTTATAATAGAAAATCATAGAAAACTGCGTAAAATTTTTGTTTAATATGTATAACTGTATATACGTTCACTGAACCTTCTGTACGAAGCGTGTGTTCTAATCTAAATAACGCCACTTACGCAGCCCGGTTATCAATTCTTGACATGCACGTGTACCATTACCTCTTTCTTGACGTATACACGCGTTTCGCGTATATGATGAATAAATATTTCCAAGATTAGATAAGGCATACCTTAGAACGCAGATAACCTCATTGCCTACTGACGGTGAGAGTAGAAAAATCGTACAGGTGAGCAATAAAATAATGCAGCTTATATTCAATACCGATACACTTCTAAACGCTTATGCATCCAACGTGTAACAAAACCGAAGCTTTGCGATTCGTTACGAAAGAATGCCATTTGTACGGTTCAAACAATGTCTTAAACATTCTAATAGATTCTACGGATTCACTCTCACGATCAGTGACCTACACCTAATCTTAAATACTTTGTTCTATTCGCACGCTTTCCAATTGGCGATCGTAACGAAGATCAATCGCAAACTAGTTTGGTGACGAAACGAAGGAAAACAAGTACCGGCTTTCTTACACCCAAATAAAAACCTCCGGTGCTAATCGATTCGTACTAAAGACAAACTGTCAAGTCACGGAACGAAAGATACGGCAGCGAAGTAAATCGAAACGTCAAGTCAGGTGACATGTAGAAGATAATGAAGTAAAAGTGACAACAACTGGTGAATTCCGCGCGAAACAAAGTCACGATTACGAGCCGACGTACCTATGTAAACGACTTCCATCTTGAGACGTTGTAGACGCAGCCACCGGATCGTCGACGTAATAATATCCAAGGGCACGTTAAAGGAAACACAAAATCACATCGATTACGGTTGCCACGCCGGGCAGGCCGTCACACTCGCACGAATGAAACGCGAACACTGGGAACAACGACGAATTGCCGCGGTGAAACGAACCGAACCGAACCGATCTCGAAGATGAGGTTAGAATCGCGCGCGCGCAGAACGCGACTACGACGCTCCGTGTACGACACTTGTTGATTCCACACTGTCAAAAAGATCAGAGCACCCGTATGCGCGGAAACATGACGTCGGTTACACACATGGACTTCTAACTTTCTCTCTCTACTCGCTATCCGTCTTCTGGCTCGTACCCACTAACGATGGCGTTTCCTTCGAGCCTCCGAGATCTTCGAGCGTGATCGAAACCCGAATGACGTGAACTACGGTTGTCGTTCCGTTTTCGCGCAAACAATGGATATCGGGATGGTGCAACACAGAAAGAGAACCGTTTCGCGACGAGACTGCTGGAGTATGGCAGGACGATGACCGATTCGCAAGCCAAGAACGAAAAATGGAAATGAAAAACCGACAATCGTTCTTACTTTCGCGCGAGCGTCACTAGACTACCGAACGTACTGCACACCGGCCGAGTCACGAGCGAACTGGCAACCTCGGACTCTCGGAGTTTCGAACGAGTAAGGCCCAACTTCCCCCACCAATCCCGCCCTCTAGCGATGCACACGAGTGTCTATTTCGCTTCCTACTGTAGATCATCTATTTCTTTCCTTTATTATCCAATGGACTCCCCCTTTACCTAACATTTCGTGGAACTTTGTCCATAACCACGTAGGAAAACAATGAAAAGATCGATACAATTTTTATTCTATCGTTTGTGTTGGAGTTGCAGTTAGTTCGAGAATCGATCCAACGAATGTTTACTTCATTGAAGAAATATTGTTTAACCAATTTCACTTTAATCATAATATTACATTTATGAAATATATATATCATTCGTACAAATTGGTAATTTATAAGCAATTTACTAATGACAACGAATTGTTGTTAACGGTAAAGAGTTGTAACAATTGTTCATTATGTCCCATAAAGTGTCGAGTTCCAAAGAAGCCCACAAAAGTCATGGTCTACGAGTATTGAAACAGAACCTCGGGCTCCTCCCTTGCGGGCCGTAAGGCCCAATGTATCACAGGTAAATAGGATCTCAGAAATCGAAAGAAGTAGTCTCACGAACGGATCAGGTAGACAGAGGTGGACAGTCCATCCTTGCAATACGATTTTCAATTCTTACATCACTACCGCTTATCGTAACGATATAAATTTGTTTACGAAATATAATTGCATGTTAAATGTGATAGTAAGCAGTACAAACATATAATATAGAAACAAATATTTAAAGAATGTATCAACAGACAATATATCTAAACGTAAACATTTGTATATAATGTAAGTATATATTTTGACTACCGTAAATGCACTATTGAATGGCGATGTAACAAAATTACTGCAATTCTGAGAAATGCGTCTATGGCTTTGCATCGGGGACCTCCCACAGCGTTACGTCTCCAATTAGTCGACTAATCACTTCAATTTCAAGCATAGATACATAATTGTCCGACGTATCTAAAATTACAATCGCGCGTATCTTTCACGATTATTTCTGCAATTAAAAAAAAAAAGTGATCGTGCAATATTATTTCCTAATGTACTTACAAATATCATCATCCATACTTATTTTCTTCTATCACTGAATATTTCGTTACTGAATACACAACTTATTGAACTTGAACTGTTAGAAACACAGGACTAACTGTACCACGTGAAACAAATCACAAACAATATACCGCTTGTTGTAACATCATCACTCAGACAATAACAATACGATTCAAAGTTTATGCAATGTTTTGTTAAGTTGCGTTTATCGATGGATTTGTTGCACGTTAATTATATGTTTTTATCAGAATATTAGACGATAGAGTCAGAAAGATTATGCAAACGAACTCGTGGGAAACTCATGGTTCGAATCAGTCAAGTCCATAAAATGACAAACGCAATAATAAAACTAATATCATATCATGTAAGTATCATTTTCTTAATTTTGATTTTTATCCACGATTCACGATACATCTTTTATGAGTAGATAACAATACAATATAAAAATTATTTTTAAAAAACTTGAAAACAATTAACGGTATATTATTAATGGCACACGAAATTATATCCACACGCCTTTTTTTGTAGATCTAATTATTTCATATAAAAATTCCTGAAATATCTAAATGGTCAATGAATCAGATCTAGAAATATTTGAACATCGCATACGCTCTTTGATATGCTTTCATTGGATTCTAATAACACTGCACAACGTGATTTCGTCGAAAAGGAACAACCTCATTCGATGCAGTCTGTCGCGGCACTGTAAGGTGCTGGGAAGCTTGCTTTGTAGGAGATCTTCTTTCCACAAGTCAGTGCCGACGCATCAAATATGAAATTTTCGAACGCGAAAGAAAATATTTTCAATATCGCTCGGCTGTAACGAGAATGGTAAGACTATTTGTCCGACTAAAAATTATCAAGTCCATGACGTTTAACAGAAAAAAATCAATATTAAATATACATATGTACTTAAAGGTCACCCACATTTTTTATCTTTTTTTTGTTTAGAGAATCCTTTCGCGTAAATATCAAAGATGGTGCATGAAGTAATTGTAAGTAATTAAAAATATTTAAATATCAAAATAACTAAACCGATTTAATCTCGAATTCATTTAAATCGAACGTATTTCCCGAGATATGTATATCAATTCACAGATAAGAACCTACTCCTATACTTGCATCGATCATTGTCCATGAGATTTCTCTAATTGAAAATGTCTGTCAAAGGAGTCTTTAAGTTGCACATTCAAAAATAGAGTTTTTTTAAGCGCATACTCCTAAGAAAGCACTTCGGGTAGATACTTTAAAGTTTCACAATGCGATAAGGCACATCTTTGACGACGTTCAATAGTTTCGCTTCACCTTGAATCGTCAGTAGAAATATAATTTACATAGCGATACGCGGGAATGCATTATATGTCATCGTACACCTAACAAAAGTGTATTAAAGTGAAATACTTTCCCATATTTAAAATAAATGTAATAATTTTTATTTCGATTAATGAAAGTTGTGCTGTTCTGTGCAGACAAGACAGCTTTCGTATCTCTAAGTTCAAGTATTACACGCGATTGTACGACAACTTTTTCTGTAGATATTACATATCTTCGAGCTACGAGGCAAGGTAAAACGTAGTGCGAAACGTGATCATGTTGATCATTTCTATTTATAATTACGTAAATAACATGCGGCGTCAGTAGTGATCATGCTTCTTTGACAAATGAATGAAATTGTACTACTGGATGTGCGTCGGGTCTAATGAGAGATCTCGCTATGGTATACATATGTATAAACATCTTTGCATCGTTGCGTCAAGCACATCGGCAAAATTGTACACGTCAAATTCTTTTAGTACTGTTTAGAATTTAAATCTCATAAAAGAATAACAAATTTAATTTCGACGGTTGACAGAAACACTGCTAGAAATTTCAAATTATTTTTGTTTTCTTTCAAAGTCTTCTTTAAGATGCATCAACGATCTAGACGTCTGCAATTTTCTCTTTACATAAATTTTTGCTAATTATGATTAATGCTTACCCTTGATACAACAGATTTGCTCCTCGACGCTCTCGCCCCGCCATGGATCCTCCTCGACTTGAACGATCCAGCGAATTTTTCTCGGTTGCATCTGGAAAAGAGTTGATAAATTACAACTGTCACGTTTTAATTAGAAAAAGGCTAGTTCAGTCGAAGCTATTCATCGCTTGCACAGCGGCGGACTGCATGAGATTAGTAGTTCACGCTAGATTTAATGTCAATGTATCGGTATCGGTGCACGATTATTTTTTATGGATAGAACGTTTGCTGATAATGTAAGTTGAAATGCGTGTCTCCTACTGTAATCGTAACCGCCGTCTTCGTACTATTTTGTCTAACTTAATGATCTTTTTGTAATGCATCTCGATTTCTATAAACTGTTTCTGTACGTTCCTCAAAAGTGAACACGTCATACGTAGTTTGTTGACCTATATAGAAAAAAATTTAATTTATCATATAAACTATTCACATGACTACCTGGTAAATATTTATAATCACTGTACGATGATCAATGTTTGAGAACTTACGCTTATGTAACCGATTTCAGTTCTAATTCGTTCAACGTCAATAACAATTAACATGTTGTTAAGTAATGAAAATAGAGAGTAATCGGTAAATTTTAAGAAGCGCTCTAGTCACGTGTTAAATAATTCTATTCTGTGGAAAATTGACCGATTATTGAATGAATTTTATTAGTACATTGATAAAGTTACTATCGATGAAATTATTATTACAAGCATGAGTAACGATTGTAAAATGAATCTGAATATAAATTATCTTTACGCTTGGATAAATTTGTCGCCGTACGACTAACGTCAGAGCAATTACCTCAAATCCGGCTCGTAGAACATTAGAAAAATGTTTGTAATCGTGATGTGTTCATAGATTCGCTACTGTGTACGCTGTTGCGGGCAATATTCGTTCCACACTGACAATGATTTCTCTGTCAACGGAAGTGACACCCTGCACAGTGACTATCTGCCTGTCCGTTGTACCGACCATGCGTGCCTGAACGCCGACTTCGCTAAGAAGAATTGTCAGAACTTCTACACCCACGGACCTGTCGCTTACATATGCGAACAATCAGTGCTCTCGTCGACGAGATATTCCGACGCGAGTACGATCCACTCGTAAATTCTTCTTTGTTATTAATTGAACTACACCATTCATCGTATTCAATCGCTTCAATGTACATAACATACCGGTATTACAGTCAAAGTTGATCAAATATAATACAGGTAACCCTCCTATAACACGGTAGATAGGTTCCTAGAAAATGCCGTGTTATATGAGACCCAGAGCCAGTATAAAAAGTTACGTTCCGAAAATTTATTAAAAACAAATATTTTTTTTTAATTCTATATAAGCAACTTCATTTTGATGAAAAATATAAATGTATGTACAACACAAAACAAAAAATATTATTTTAACTTAACGCAACCTTAATTTAATAAATTATAATTTGTTCATATATTTTCATGTAAAGCCACTATAGTTCATTATTCCTTTAATTTAGTTTTTAAATATGTTAAGCAAAAATCATGTTATCCAGTGCTGTACAAGTACAGCGTTGTACAAAGTTTTTCGCAATTTTCTTATCGTGTTAAAGCGAAACCGTGTTGTAAGAGGGTTCTCGCAATTTATGAATCGTGTTATAGGATGTCGTGTTGTAGGAGAGTTACCTGTATGTAATAATATTTAATAAAGACACGAATAAAAAATATTTGATCCGTGTCTTCGGTACAATGTTTACACAAAAGTAAATAACAAAAAATATGATATGAATCCTGACCTTACAATATTTTATTAATGTTATGAGTATACTAACGAAAGCAAGATTACTAGAAATATTGCTAATGCTCGCTTGTTACATATAGAATTTTCTTACTTTCTAATTTCATTCTTGATATTATTGTAAAATTTGAACAGAATTAAATATAAGATAGTGAACATGCTAGATGGAAATTACTGCGTTTAATATCACGGAATCGAACTTAAAGGTAAAACTTTGTAAGTATTTAATACGTAAAATATGTATTATTTTATTTTTTCCTTCGTACTGTTTTTAAACTGTACATTTTCAAATTTAAAGTTGAATAAATCAATTTGTGCGTCAACATATCATTGTGCTAAGTACGCATGCGTTACAAAGGTTCACACGTTCAGCGGTTCAACCACGCGGTGCATGCGAATCCAAACGTAAGACATAACCTTAGTGAATAGAAGTAGTAATTAAAACGCAAAAATGTATTTAATGTATTACTTGAATGAAGACGGAGATCGAGTGTATACTTTGAAGGTAACATATAATAAACATGTTTTACTATATAAATTACACAGTACATCTTTCGTTATTGAAATGCGTAACTCTTTACACTTTGTAATAGATGAGTAATACATTTTGGTTTTATTTGTTATGTTGTTATATTAACAAAGATTGAAAATTCGAATATTACAAAAGAAGATGTATAAGAAATGATGTATAATTTGTTATTTTTATTTATACGTGGTTTATTATTTCACAGAAAATAGATCCAAATGGAAAGCCTACGTTGTCAGCACATCCAGGTAAATGATAAGTTAATAGTTTGCTTTATAAAAAATATCAATTATTTAATATTGAAAATGATTTTAGCTCGATTTTCTCCCGAAGATAAATATTCAAGAGAAAGAATAACATTAAAAAGAAGATTTGGTCTATTACTTACACAACAACCATTACCTACTTATTGATATTCCTTTATTATTTGTAATTGATTATATGTTCTACTGTGTAAGAATGAAATTAAATTTATAAAATAAAATATACATTTGTGTATGTATTTTTTACAACCTAACATTTGATATATATATATATATGAATAATTAAGCTTTCAACGCCTACAACTTCCCTTTCTGATAAACTAGGTATGGCTTTCTCCACAAATTGTCACACTTATTACTTGCAACGATACTTGAATATAAATTATAACAAAATATACTTGTAAACATAGTTTATGAGACAAATTAATTATTCATTTTATTCAATACAAATGCTCTTTTATTCAGTATTCAGTTTATCCTTAACATGTACATATAAAAAATAAAAATTATATTTCAATTTATTATACATATGTAATGACTTCAAGTAGAATACAATTTTATTAGAAAAACGTACTAACAGGATTACATAAAACCAACTTCAGCATTTTAATCTTAACATTATGTTAAAGATATTGCAAAATTTTCTGAACAACTACTTATGCTATTGACAGAATAAAAATTTTCTGAGTTGGTACATGCAGTAATATTGCAAATTAAAAAACTTGTACCAACATGTAATAATATTTGTTACATTGTTCTGTGCCTTTTAATGTATATCTCTACACCGATTTTTAAATGATATTTAGAATGTATCTCTTTCCTCTAAATATATTATGTTATGTTAACTTAAGATGATAAATAACAATGTACATACACTATTCAATATATTTATGTACATATGTTTGGACATATACAGGAGGCGTCTGAATAACATGTACAAGCGAGCAGGAGATAATTCCTTATGAAAAAATAAAAAAAATATACGGAATACAATTTTTTCATTTTTAGCTTTGTTTTCGAGATAATCAAGTTCGAAAATCGATTTTGTATTTTACACACTTACGGCTAAGATACGATTCAGCAAGCAACGTAATAACTTCTATCCTGTTTGTAAACAATGTTCTAAAATTTTTTGATACCCTTGTCGATTTATCAGTTCATCGTGGACACTCAGTTTTCATTAATTTATAACAATGATGACTTTCACGAATCGAAAGTACGTTGATATAATCCGATCGATCAATCGAATTATTAAACGAACACAGCCATGAATTTTGAATTTTTTCATAAATTTTGTACTTAATAATACATAACAAATCGATTGTTGTTCTTTACGGATTGCACTAATTTGTAAAAATCCTGTGAACATTATAAACAAACACATTATTTATCCTGTAGACATCATATACCGCTTGATTGAATCTCACCTTAGTCGTAAGTACGTAAAATACAAACCCGACTTTCAAACTTAATTATTTCGAAAACAAAGCTGAAAATAAAAAAATTGTAGTCTTATATTTTTCTTATTTTGTTATAAGAAATCACCTCCTGCCCACTTGTACATGTTATTTGGGCGCGCCCTGTATAGTACATTTACGTATATGTATATGTACTAGTCATTTTTTATCATTTAAAAGTAACATTTAATATTTTAAGTGAACAATTCTAAATACATTCCAATTGCAAATAATTAAAAGAATACCTCTCTTACCAATTGTTTATAATGTTAATTATATATCCATTAATAAATAAATAATATGGACATAAACATTTCTTTATATTATTCTAAAATACATTTAATATTGTTTAAAAATATCATTTTACTTTATTATAAATGCCAAATATTGACACTTTTCCAATATAGAAATATTGAGTACTGAGTATTATAATATTTATCTTATTTACATGGTTGGTGAAAATATTCCAATTAATTGAAAAATGATGTACTAGTTAACATGGCAACGCAGCGATACTTTACGCTATATTCATAATTAGAATAATAAAGACTAAGAAATAAATGTAACGAAGATAACATTTATCTTGTTCTTTTTACATGTGCTTACATTTTACACAAATAATTATTACAGAACACATCTTTATCCGTGAGATAGATGTTAGTTATTTCTCATAATATTTGCATGTAAACTATGTAATTTTAATTTCTTATTTTATATTATGAGTATGTTGTTGACAGACATTTGTACAAATTTTACAGAATTACATGCAGCAAGGAAAAATTTAATATTTGATGACTTTAGTACTAAATTGACAAACATTCTGTAAGAGTCTACAAATCAACTGAAATTATTAGAAATTATTTCATAAACTTCGCACAGAATAAATTATATAACAATTAAATATTTGGAAGATAGGAAACAATTTGAAGTATCTATACTATTATATGTACATAATGTAAAAATTATAAGTACGTAATTTTAAATAAAAAGGAAACAATTTTTACATATCTTCCAATTAAACTGGACAAAAAAAAAAATATTAGTTAGATTTCAGATGTGGACTATATAACAATATCAACAAATGAATATTGTTCGATGAGTTCATTAGAATATAAATCACATTATTTCACAGGACAAAGCATTATGTTGTAACAGTATTTCTTCAAATATATGTTTTCATTTTAATTATAGAAGTCTCTTAATTTTACTTACTGTTCACATATTGTCATATATTTACTTTGCTTCTAATGGCAAAACTTAAACTATTAATTAACTATTACTGGTGGAAATAAACAATGATGAGATTGAAATTCGATTTTTTGACAAGCATTATACAAACATATAACTCCAAGCAATATATATAGAATCTACTTGTCCAAATTTCAAATTTCGATTAAAGAATATAAAAACATGAACAAACCAGTATAGCAATAGTTGAAAAATGAATACAAAATTATAATATTAATCGGTATCATAGAAATATAACAAATAATATAGACATATATTTCATAATGCCATCGATGTACTATACGCTTTTAATATCAATGCGTTTGCATTTAATTTGCTTCTGAAGGTGATGCGGGTAGAACGTGAACTTGCTGCGCTTTACTAGCATTATAGACTTGTCCAGGACTGAATGGTTCTAATCTTGGATTAGAACCTATTTCAGTTTTACGAATGTCTTAAAACAAATTAACAAACATTATTAATGCAAATATAAACATAAAAACACAAAACAAGTGTCATTCGTCTTTCAAAAAGGATAGCTTTTTTTTAGTAAGAAACAAAATACAAACAAATATAACAAATATCAATGTACTTACCACTCTTTGACTCCGATGCTGGAATATATCGGGACAATCTAACAACAGGAAGGGGTAAATAACCACTGGTTAATGGCATCACGTCCAATGTGACGCTTTGTTTTTCTGAGACTTCCAACGACACAAGGCCAGCAGTACGGCCGCATACAGCCCACATGGCTTGATCAGCAAGAACTTCGTACATTAATTGAGGCGGAGGATTTGGATTAGGACTGGGTAACATACGTGTTACTGTGAGATAAAGATGGCACATGCTACTAGCACGACAAAATTCACCTCCATTCCCAGCTGGTTCAACTTTTGAGGACACTGTAAACAAAGTCTGGAAAATGATATTATAAATAGAAACTTGTCTTTTTAAAATACTTTTACGTAAAGTAAACTCCATAAATGCATTTATAAAATCATTTTCATTTTATATTTCATAACAAACTAATAATAAAGCTCAATACATAAACTACATAAATCTCGTAAACTATTAAAATACATTTCACTAGTTTATGTCAATTAAATAGAAAAGGCAAGAATAGAAATAATTTATACTCTTACCACATAATCTGTGATATCGAAATTGCATCTATAAACACTGGATGCCTTTTCCATTCTTTGCAAATTATGTATATGCAAAGGATCATCACTTAGTTCTTGAGTATCGTTAACGGGGATGTATTTTACGCGAAAATCAGTCTTTATGGGCATCATAGATTTTTCATCCTTCCCAATTTCAAGTTCCCACATAAACGACACATTTATTCCATTACCTATTATTAATCTCTGTCCCGCAATTGGATTTAAACTTTTAAAATTAACATCTATCGATGTTACTGTTGTTAATTCTGGCTCAGTCAGTTGCAGAAGTTGACTTGTTAATCCTGTTACAACTATTTGAAGAAATTTTCTTCGTTTTGCTGTGTGAAGTTTCATATTTGACATGAGTGGTGGACCAAAATGCAAAAGTATGCTTTCTTCGGCACCCCATGGACATTGTATATTCAACTGAAAAAATATTAATAGTTATAAGTATTTTAAAAATATTTTTATCTATACATTCAATAAAATATATGAAAAAGAATAAGTACCTTATGTTCCATTGATAAAGTATCTTTCTTTGGTGGTAGGTCAGCTAGAACTCTTAATTGTAAACATATTGTTTGAAATGGTTCACAAACTGGCAAAGGTATTTCTAGTTCTTTAGACATTATTTCTTGTGAATTATTAACTTGCACTACTAATCCTCTAGACGTACGTAACTTAAGTTTCATTTCTTTTGTTATTTTTATACTCCCACTCATAATAACTAATTCTATGTCTTGGATAAGGCCTGCCAATAAATCTCTCCCACATTTCACAGAAATTGTTGGTTGGGTCTTAGCTACTTCATAACATAGCCGAGGATTTAAAACAGGCGACAGAAATTCCAATCTTTCTTCAATAACCAACGACAATTGACCAACTATGTAAAAACCAGGTTGGTCCACGCGTCTAACCAATGTAAACGTATTTACGCCTGGTTTTACTATAAATTCATCACACGATAACGCTTTACTAAAATCACCTTTTGCATTTACAGATGGTTTCCTGTGTTTTGTACTGTCAGAACGTCTTATAACAGGTTTAGTATTTCTATGTACGACACTAGCAGATCCAAGACTTTTATCTTCTTTGTATACTAAATACGAATATACCTGTAACTGAAGTAAACTTGGATCAAATGGCTTCATATCTTCCAAAGTACATTTTGACAACCTGAAAATAATGATTTATTAAAACTGTAACGTTCACAAAATATTTAAACACATTTTTTTCGGGATTCCGCACACCTCTATTATTTATATTATACTTATTACGTACAACGGGATTGCAGGTTCAGCTGGTAATTTTAAACCCTTCTTTTTATTAGGTACTAGAGGTTTCTGAATTTCTTCAACAGATATAGATGCTTTAGTACATTTTACTTCTCTCGGAAATAAAGATTGTATACTGATCTCAATATTAACCACGCAATCTTGTACGACTTTATCCATCACTTTAAGTTCCATACTGAGTATTACAAAAGCACATCCAAGTTCTATGAGTAACGGTTGAGGCGATGAGATCATTTTCATATATCCAAACATTTCTTCATAATATGAATTACGGACAGTAATGTGTAATACGTTCAAACTGGAAATTGCTGCGCAAACTTTTGTATATTTCTCAATATCATCCATTCTTTTATAACACTGTGCAAGTTCTAGTTGAGTTTGTGCAGCCAAATGGTTCCAACCTTCATCCGTGTAAGTTTTTAAAGCGTCCGATAAAAATGCTACGGCTTTCTGATTTTCTCCGAGTTCGCTATAAAATTGTGCTAGTTCTTTTCCTATTAATCTGGCTGATCGAATTCGACCTACATGTTTATAAGTACCCATAGCTAATTCTGCATGCTCGAGATATTGTTTTTTGAAAGCTTCCTTTGAAGAAAGAGCTTCTTTCAATTTATCAGTGGGTGTTAATTTTCCTTGTATCTGTGGTTCAGAATCTCCCATACCAGCAATAAGATAAACAACAGTGTGTAACTGCTCGCTAGAAGGTTCATTCCCAGGCATTAGACCACATAATTTTCCTAAATCTCCTAACTAAAATAAATGACAATTACATATAATACACGAAGTAGTATTTATTTATACAATTTACACAAATCTTAATGCTGCATTTAGCAACTTACTTTATCTCTGGCAAGAGCCCAAAGACTGGCTGTATGTAGAGAGCAAAGATCTAGTTGTTGATTATTATCAATATTATAAGACGATAATTGACAAGCTTGCAATACCTCCAATGCACAAAGAAAAGACCAACATTCAATAGATCCTTCAGGTCGTTGAACTTCTAAGATGCGTAATTCGCTTAACGTATTATGAACAAATGACAAACACCTTTGTGCAACCTAACATACAATTCATTTATGTTTATATTCGAAATGAAATTATTCATAATTAGCAAATTTCACGAATCAAAAAATCAGTAATACCTCCCATGGTTTGTTAAGTGCTAATAACATGGCACACTGTCTACTGAATAAATAACTTCTAAGATCTAATAACGATGCTTTACACTCGGCCAAAAGATGTCTTAAATGATGATTTGTACCATTACTTAAGTTAACACCTTTCCAATTATTTAGTGGAGTTTGAAACAAATTTAACCAAATTGGAGTATCTATAAAAATTTTGTTCAGTTATTAATACCACAATTTTAAGAAGAGAAACAAATAATTAAAAAGACAAATATATCCTACCTCCCACATTAGAATTAAGCACAAACTGTGTAAAGAGAGCATCTAACTCATCATACTGCACTAATGCTTCATCATACAAACCTAACATTTGCAAAACGAATGCAAGTTCTTCCTAAAAATGTGAACTCTGATTAAAATCTAATATACTTTTAATGTTTCGTACAATAATATAGTTTAAACTAATTCTATTATTTTACCTGCAATAAAAAATAATGACAAAAATTCCAGTTTGGGTGATTTCGATTTTCTCTCTGTTCTCTAATAATATCTTCAAAAGAAGATAGTGTTTTATCATATGCAACAAGCATTAAGTGACGTATGCGATTAACTAAACCTCTCCATGATTCAGCTGAGCGTATTTCTGATTTTACTGAATTTATTACAGAAAAACATCTGTTTGACAAAAAACATAATAACAAAAATAATTCGTAATAAAATATTTATCGAACATTCATTAATTGATTGTTACATCACCTGTCACCATTCTTAGAAGCGAAATCACTACGAATTTTGTCTAGAACGGTTGTTCTAGGTAATAATTTATTAGTTTTCTTTATATCGTAAGTTTCTACTATAACAATCATCCAATCTTGGATTTGGTATTGCATTAACGTTTTCAACCAACTATCTATATCGTCTTTGACATTGGCTTTATAAGTATCTACATCCTGCAATCACAATATGTATGATAACACAGGGTGTTACCAGACGAGTGGTACCATCGGGCAGGGGTTGATTCTACGTGCGAAAATAAGTCGAAGAAAAGAAATAAAATATTTTCATTTGAAACTTCGTTTACGAGAAGATCGAGTTTGAAAGTTGTTTCCAGTTCGCGGTCATATTCGTTCATATATGTTGTTTTCTATAATGTTTACATTCTTTCTTCAGCCGTACGATTACCGACTACACTCATTGTTAGTTTAGTTTCGCTACAGCAATCTTGAATATGTTGACACGGTAAAAGCGTTAGGAGCTTGTAACGGGACTGCTATTACTATTTACTGTTTTCGATGTATACACTACAGGCAATTGTTATAATATAAAATAAAGAAACCAATGTTAGGGTAGTACTCCGAGAATTAGACAAATTTGTAAATCTATGCTCTGTTTTCCGTATCACCCTTTTGTCTGAATGACGACGATTCGGAAATCGTTGCCTGTAATACTTAGCTCCTGCCATTGCAGCTCCATTAAAAGCTCCAAACGCTTTCACCGCGTCAACATATTCAAGATTGCTGTAGCGAGACTAAACTAACAATGAGTGTAGCCGGTAATTGTACGGCTGAAGAAAGAATGTAAGCATTACAGAAGACAACAAATATAACAATGGGTTGTAAACAATTTTAAAACTCGATTTTCTCGTAAACGAAGCTTCAAATGAAAATATTTTATTCCTTTTTCCGACTTATTTTCGTATGTAGAATCAACCCCTGCTCGATGGTAACACTCGTCCGGTAACACCCTGTATAAATGTAAAATCTTCAATTATACTATCGAATGTCTAAAAGAAAGTATCTAAATACTTTATATTATTAAGTTTTTAAATATTACTTTTTGTTTGATCGAAATAGTTGTTTTTTAAAACATGAAATATAATATATTTTAATATATAACATTAAAAATTATAATGTTAACGTACTTACAGAACATTCGCTCCAATAAATATGAAATATTGGTTGTTTTATCAGATGTCGATCCTCCTCGGTTGGAAGAATATCCTTGGAAAATGGCACAAAAGTTGCCCCAAGTTTGACTTGCTTCATAGGTCTACTGAATGACCTACGCCATTCTGCTGTATCTGCAGGTATGGCTTGCAACAAACCATTTTCCATCGTAGAAAATAATTTTTCATCTCCTGCATCTATTTGAAATAGATCAATATATTATGGTGAAATAAAATACATACAAACTACTCTTATTTCTAAATTTGATTTATATATATTAATGAATGTATGTAATTACAGTTAATTAATATAAGTGTTAAGATATTTGCTACCATGCTTCATATATATGACACATTAATTTTTGTGAGGAGCCAACATGACATTTGTACAACACTAATAATTTTTTACTTTAAATTTATATAAATAAATAAAGTAATACCTATAAACCACTGTTAAATTATATGTGAAATACTATTTAGAATATTCAGAGTTGATTTATTTATTACATTTTATTTATACATAATTAAAAGCACCCAATATATTAAATGAAATGGTAATGCAAAATAATAATAAAGAATAATGCATAGAGACATTATACAGAATATAATGTAATTAATTCAAGATTGAAATACAAATGAAATTGATCTAAATAAGGGGTACAATGTTTTGAATAAAAGAAATATTAACCTATTTAAAATAACATATGTTCACTATAAATTAATGCCGATTATTAAAGGAATTTTAATTTTGAAAGACTTTATTATTATATACTATAAAGTTTTAAACGAATAAAACTTTATCTTAAATAATTTCAATTCGTCTATAAAGAGAAAAGAAATGTCATGAAGATTGACAGTTGAGGGCGTTAATAATAGTGCTTAGCAATAATGTCATCACTGAAAAGAGGTTAAATAAATTAAAATTTTCATTAACAAACTTACATGTGATAATTGGTTTATTATCCATAAAGATATTTGTCTTGCGTTCACCACCCAAAGACAACCCCCCATTGCAATTCATTTCTAAAAATTGGCAGTTGCTTCGCGAACTTGCTTTCAATCATTACAACTTTACGTCACTTTTGCCAGTTGATACAAAAATTACGTTTTCATTGATTTTAAAAGGAAATGTTTACTGTTCCAACGTTTCCTCTGAATTAAATCAAGAATAATAATTTCATTTATCACAAGTTGATAGAAATTCAACATAATCTAACAGATCCAACATTTTATTTCCATCTTTTGGATAGATTCCATTGAGGTTGGATTTGGAATCTTCGTTTAACATGTCGTGTAATATCGATTCTTACAAAAATCTCGATACCTCGTATCATTCAACATGTGTATGATAGACGTATGGTGACGTATGTAACTATCTTGGTGACTTTAATGCTATATATATTCTAGGGAAGTTTTTACTAAATATTATATCTAAATATATGTTATACGATCATATACTTAACAAATTTTGTAATTTTCTAAGGTATATCATTGTTATATATTTATAGAATTTTAGAAATACTTGGCAAATATATTTCTCTAAGGTGAAGAATTTCTGCTTTAAAAATATATCTAATATGATGTTAAATGAGTGATTAAAACGTTTGAGGGTATATCTTAATTGAACGTTACGTATCGCTTTTCTACACCAGTTACATAAAATATGGATAACGTTTTCAAATCTTGTAAAATCTGGAATTGATATAAATAAAACTATACGTTTCATACATAAAAGGGAAGTGTACGCATGTGGCTTGGCGTATGTGGGATGAGCTCACTCGCATATGTGTGTGTGTTCGTCGGTGAAGAAAAATTGAACTTCAGTGTGTTTATATTATCTCCCGCGCAAAAACGTTAAAGGTTCAACGTTCGATAAATTAATTTTTTTCAATAGCAGATAATATTTTAACATCTGAATGTTCGCTATCAAAGAATTATGGGCACAATAGAGATCACATTTCCATTTGGTGGACAGCCAGGGAAAATATTAAAATGGAGGGTTCGGATGAATACAATGGTATCAGCGGGCAGAATATTGTTTTTATATCAAAATATTACTCCTGGAACAGAAGATGGCAAGGGTCCTGAGAAAAAGTATCGAGCCACACGATTTGGTCGTGTCTCAAAACTTTTGGCAAAAGAAGGAGATATTATTCAGCCTGGGTACACACTCTTCTTAACCTTATGTTTGCAAGCTTTATTAATTTAAAAGCGTGATGTGAATTTTCGATTTAAAAATCTCATGTATTTAGTATGAATAAAAATTGAATTCATAATTTCTTGCTAAGAGCTAAAAACATCAATAAAAATTATGCACTTTAATAAAATTACCGTAATGTATATCAGTTTTCATACATTTTTAATTTGTTTCAAAATTTGCATAAGTGATTAGTATTTCAGGCAATTGATAATGACATTAGAAGGATGTCGACATCCTACTGTAATGAAGGATTTATGTGCTGAATGTGGTGTAGATTTAAGGGTTGAAGGAATTGGCAAAGAGAGCGAAAGTACAAAAATATCACAAGCTAGTGTACCAATGGTACATAGTGTACCGGAATTAAAAGTATGTCCAGAATTGGCTGAAAAAATTGGGAAAGAGGATGAAAAACGCCTTTTAAATGATCGCAAGTTAGCATTACTTGTTGATCTTGATCAAACGATAGTTCATACAACAAATGATAATATTCCTCCTAATATGAAGGTACAATACACACGTGTAGTGAATTATTCAATTACTATTATTAATGTACCTTTCGCAGGATGTTTATCATTATCAACTTTATGGACCAAATTCCCCATGGTATCATACCCGTTTGAGGCCTAATACACGACACTTTCTCTCTGAAATGAGTCGTTTATATGAATTACATATATGTACATTTGGAGCAAGAAATTATGCACATACTGTAGCTGCATTATTGGACAAAGATGGAATTTTATTTTCTCATAGAATACTTTCTAGGGATGAATGTTTTGATCCTGCATCAAAAACAGCTAATCTCAAGTATGATTTTAAAAGAGTTACAGTAGTGCCCACTTAAATGTCCGCGGTTATCCCTACCAATTCTTTTGGAAGCCAAGTCGCTTCGAACATCGAGCGTGTCGAGCGTAACTTGACGCCGGTCGTTATCGATACATTGTATATATGGTTTTCATCTATATATATGCTTAATCCTCTTTCTTTATCTCCGTTGAATTCTGAGAAGTAACCATGCCCACATAAATGATCGCGACCGGTCCCGAGCGTGGTCACTTATGTGGGCACTACTGTATTTCATTTGATTCATTTATTTAAGAGCTTTTGCATAGTTCTGCTATAGAATAATATATATGTTTATATTTAATTATGTTAAATGTTTCTATATATGCAGTATAGATATATATGTATACAAATATACAAGATATCTAAAAATTGTAGGGCTTTGTTTCCCTGTGGAGATGATCTGGTATGCATTATAGATGACAGAGAGGATGTATGGCAGGGATGTGGGAATTTGGTTCAAGTAAAACCTTATCACTTTTTTCGTCATACTGGTGATATACATGCACCACCAGGGCTTGAGAAAAATGACATAGCGCAAAGTGATGGATCAATTTTATCTGAAGTACAAAATATGAATGAACCTTGTACAGACAATAATGAATGTGAAACAAATAAAAATGGTGCATCTGAATTATTGAGTGAAGGAGTTTTAACAGATAACAGTCTTGAAAAAGTGATTCCGGAAACGATTGAAGACAACACTCTATCCAAATCTGAAGAAAAGAATGATAAAAATACCAAAGATGACACCATGAATAATACTACTCAAAATCCTAACTCTAGCAATGAAAACAACAGTAACAAAATATTGGAGGAAAAAGAAAGTATACTATCAGCAAAGCCAACACAAGATATTAAAAAAGAGGATACAAAATTCAATGAAAATAATGTTTTAGATGAAGATGACGATGATTATTTATTATATTTAGAAGATATTCTTCGAAGAATTCATACGGAATTTTATGCTAATACAGAACAAGAAACGAGGCGCAAATCATTGAGGGACGTTATTCCGCGAGTGCGAGCACGAGTATTAAAAGGAGTACATTTAACTTTTAGTGGATTAATACCTACTCATCAGAAACTTCATCAAAGTCGAGCATATAAAGTTGCCAGAGCATTTGGAGCAGAAGTGTCACAAGTAGTGTATTAACTTTTTTTCATACTATTATATCTTGATTTTGTTTATTATTATAAATCATTATGTTTCAGGATTTATCTGATAAAACTACTCATTTAGTAGCTATTAGACCTGGTACAGCTAAGGCTAATACAGCCAAGAAAAATGAAAATATAAAAATCGTAAATCCAGATTGGCTCTGGACTTGCGCAGAACGTTGGGAACATGTTGATGAACGATTATTTCCACTTACTATAAAGGTATACTAAATTTTCATAGGTACTACGAACGTAATGTAATGATTGTGAACATAAAGTGAAATGATAAATCTGATTGATAATCGCTCCTAATTTCAATAAAGAATTATACATTTTCAGGCTCGTGCTTCAAGAATACCACCTCCTCACTGTAGTAGTCCAGAACACGTTGAGGACCAAGAAAAGAGGGCAGAACATAGTTTCGCTGATAGTATTAACCCTCTAATGTCATTTACACCAGAAGAAATAGAAATTATGGATAAAGAAGTTGAAGAAGATATGGATGATCAAGAAATGGATGCACCTGTTTTTTATACAGAGGATGTAGATAGTACCGACGAATGTGATAATAAAGTTCGCAATAGGGATTCTGATTCTGAAGATTCCGCGAATTGTGAACGTATGTATAATATATAAATTATATTTTATATGAGTGAAATGTTTACTTAACCCTCCGGCAGGCGCGCTCGTGTACAGACCTGTTCCCCCTGTGATCGGCTCGACTTCGGACTTTTTTCTATTCCTCGTTTGGAGGTTTTTCTATATATTTGAGCCAAAAGTTAAAATTTCACAATGTCAACGCCGCGTGTACGGAGTACGAAAAAAGGCGTGCGTTTTACTATAAAGAGCGCGCCTGACGGAGGGCCAAGGCTGGGGGCACACGAACATTATGGCAAGTCGACGCACGTGTTGCCTACTGTATTTCTCGGTATACAATGGAAAACATGCGTCAACGTATTCCAACGTGCGTTCTAACATAAATACGTCGATGAAAAATCAACGCACGTTGCGATGGACGTTGAAAGCAATACACGTTCGTAGCGTGTAGTATCTAAGCCGGGGGGTTTTTCCTTGTCTAAAAAATTGAAAACAACTAAGACAGACATATGAACGCCGGTCTTGTTTGTCGTTGTTGTTTTCAATTGCAAGACAATGTACAGTAGTGCCCACATAAGTGATTGAATTTTTGCCCGCTTAAATGACCGCGGTTATCCCCACCAATTCTTAAAAGCCAAGCGGCTTCGAACATCTAACGTGTCGAGCGTAACTTGACGCCGGTCGTTATCGATACACTCGCACTTATCCTCTTTCCTTATCTCTGTTGAATTCTGAAAAGTAACCATGCCCACATAAATGACCGCAACCGGTCCCGAGCGTGGTCACTTATGTGGGCACTACTGTATTTCTACAACGGACGTTATAACCGTCGCAACGCACGTTGTTTTAATGCTCGTGTGTCCCCAGCTTGAGAATAGTTAGAGATCGGATTTTAGAAAGGACTAGAATTTAGGAGTTAAAAATATTCTAAAGTTTTATTGGTTGATAAAGCGAGTCACAAAAGCAATTCAATGTAATTATTATTTAATTGCGAAATAGGATATAATGTAAATGAACCAAGAAGAAAGAAGAAAAAACTTTCTAACGAAAGTTCCGAAGATGATGATTCAAGTGGAAGGGAAGACAGTTTGGATGATGATGAAGACGATGACGATCCTGTAACACGTTTTAGAAGAGGAGAAGACTTACCTGATGATTTAGATCTAGGTGATAATTCGCAAGATTCAGTCGAAGATCTTGAAATAATGGACAACGAAGATGATAGAGAATGGAATGCAATGGGAGCAGCGCTCGAAAGAGAATTTCTTTCTGAATGATTATAAAGTTCTTTTCTTGTTTTTATAAACTAATTAAGTCATCACATTACTTGTAAATTTCAAATTGATCATTTTTAATAATAATTACTGATAATATTTAAAAGTTAACATATTTGTAGAATTTTGGGTCGAATAGCTTAATATAACTTTACTTTGAGTATAAAATAATAATGTACAACTTTCACAAAAAAAGATACAAAGTGTTTTGTATTTAATTGATTTTAAAATATATATGCACAAAAACGGTATATAGGATTAATATGGTATGTTTAATAAATTATTATTTTAATATTGTTCCCCTTATTACTCTTTCCATGAGTTTTGATTTATACATTAACAATTATAAATAGTTAAACAAAAAATACTTACACGACTTCTTTTATTAAACTTTGTCGTTTCAAATTCATACGCGACATTTGTTCTATGCGAGTGTTTAAAATAAATTTTTATACTAATATTAAACTGTATTAAGAAGTTCAAAAATAAATTATATTGTTTATTTCTCTTATACATGATCTTTATTAGTTATTGAGAAGTTTAATGCATATAAATTATTTTGGATATATAGCATATGGGTCAGTATCATTTGGATCTTCATTGTATTTTACATAAGTATTTTTGTCTGTGAAATCTCGTTTGCCTTCTGTAACTCCTCTAGGTGATGATTCATCATATTTAAATCTAGAGTCTAATGGTCCATATAATTTCGAATCTTCTTCTATATCATCCCTAATATTATATAAATATAGAATTAGTTTTGTGGTTTTCGGAGAAATTATATCACAAAATAACTGAAATGTTTATATTATTATTTACATTAAATAAAAATTGTATATACCTATATTTTCCTGCAGCAACTTTTTTACCTGTTATAGGATCTGTAATATCACCTAGTGGAAAAACGATATCAACAACCTACAAACACAATTGAATAAAAACATAAAAATTAATTCAACATTTTATACTGATACTACCTAAGTACTATTCTAAGATTCTGTTATTATCTAAGTACTTTGATATACAAAGTATACCTTGTGAGTAATAAGGCGAGTTAATTGATTTGGTAAATTTTGTATTAAAACTGTATCACCAGTTTTGCAACGTTTCTCAGGATCATGAGCATACACAAAATCATATTTGTGGAAATACTGTAATACAATAAAAGATCACATAACCTCAAATACATGTTCACGTAAGAATCATTCAAATTTACATACCATTAGAATATGTTCATCGAAATCTGGTTGTTGCACACGTATTTTAGCAGCATTATGTTTAGTAGAAGGTACACATACTCCTAATAAATATCTAAGGGTAGGTTTTGTTAGCTTTTTCGTTCCCATTTCCACTACATGTATTCGTATATGCGTGTAGGTATACCCAGCTGTGTATCAATAGTTTCGATTGGTATCCGTATAGACGACTAAACAATTTACAAAATTATATGGCAATGACAATAATGGCAAGTGTCATATTTAAATGGTTTGTTAATATTTATAATGATTCATTAAATTATATTTCATAAAATAATTATTATAAGCATACGTTACTACTGGGATAAAGCTCAATACTCTAACATTTTTAAGTTCTTGGAAAAAGCAATTTTTCTATTTTTCTGATCGATCTCTTATAAAGTATTATATATTTATAGAAGTATTGCATATATTTATAAGTATCTTATATTTACAAAATATTAAGCGTTTACTTACTTATATTGTATATCATAAGTACTAGACGGATTCGCTATCATCAGCTTCAGCATCAGAAAATACTCGGGGGACCAAGAGGCTTTAATAATAATTAATCTTCAACTACTAACAGCGTAACTCTAGTTTTCGATAATGGGGCACTCAATTACGCGCTTCCTTAATTAATAACATCGCAGGTATCGAATATAGTCTAAACAAATAGCAAGAATTAGTAAAGAAATATATAAGAAATACATTATATTTCATTTTGTCATATTATTTATTTAACAACTTCTTAAATATATGTACATATGTATATACACTTATATTGGGTCTTTCTATGCTACATGGGTTACATTTTGAGGTTAATATCAGGGTTTTGTCGAAACTGAAATATGATGTTGTAAAATTAGCATGGAAGAGGGTTTACATCATATTGTTGGTTTAGAATTTGTTTAAAAATACAGGATGTATACGTGTGAAAGCTGATCAAACAATGAATTTTTATCGACGTTTACCATATTAAGAGGAACATATCGTGATGATCGATATTTGATCTTGCGTTGACCTTGAAAAGCTTTGTCACGGTGACGTTTATTTTTTTAAATTGGATTCTATATTTTTCTCAGACACTTATTTGTGCATTTTGTATAAGCCAACTGAGTATACTGCAAGCTGAATAAAATGGGGATGCATCGTACATATGTATATCAATTTTTTATAGATACAAGTGTATTCGTGAGTCTGTCACGCGGATTATTCATCCCAACGGCCATCTCAAAGAAAATTCGTGTCATCTTTTGTCACGATGCGATAGGAAAAGGGAAACGCACTCGTCAAGATCACAGCAGGAAAGATTATACGGATGAAAGGGAAATCCTGGCGAGACAGAAAAAAAGGTGGTACAGCCGATAAGAGGCAACCTCCTTCCCTTCAACATTTGCAATCAGATTGTTGCTGTAGGCTATGGACAATTGGTTAGGAGAAATATCAATGGATATCGCGGACGGATTTACGAGAGATAAACGAGCGAAAGATAAACGTAGCAGAAAGAGACTGTGACGAGGTAGGGTGCTTGAATCAAAGACCGGATATTTCGAAATGTAGGTATTACTTTTATTCCTTATTCGTTCTTTCTGTCCCGTGTATTACGCGTGTATACGTGTTCGTAGGCACATACATATTTGCCTTTGGCATCTGCGACTCGCGTTGTTATTGCGGAATGCAAAGGAGCAGGGGAATTCACGGGTGATCGCCCGGTGAATCGACAGCGACCAAGCCGTCAGTCAACCAGGAAATTCCATCGTGGGCGAAAAAAATCGGAACAACTACACGACTCAGTTGAGCTACTACTTCTGCAACAATGCAACTTGGTCCTATAAGTCTGCCTTTTTTCGAACCAACAGTTCGTCGTGCACAGCACAACAGAGGGCAATAGGAGCCTGATTCATTCGAGCAAACGAAAATCATTGTACAGAATTCGGCAGTGACAGGCACGACCGTTAAAAGAAAACACGTTCGCGCTTTATGTATACGGTAAAATAATTTAAGTACGATTTGTCGGTGAATATTTATAATGAAATTAACAATGTTATCAGCTCGCGTGCATACTTAAAGGTACGTTGTGTGTAATCAGGATGCAAGTTTTGATTCGACCCTCTGCCTCATCAATTCTCGTTTTTTCCATGTGTACGTATCTGCATTTACATATAAATATGATCGTGCGCCTTCCACGATCCCATTGGTTGCAACATTGCACGCTACGTGTACGAACAAAATGCATAAATTAAACTCATTCTGCCCGTGCACCGCCATCTGTATAGATGGCGGCAAGCATTAGGCGTGCACTCATACACGCTACCTATCAGAGAAAATGCGACATCTTTATTGGTACCGTGAAAATTTGAAATAATTGCTTCTCTGTCATTAAATAATTTGTACGTGTAAAATACAGGTACTACATATTTGTTTCAAAGTAAGTTTAAAAATAATTATACTGTTTAGAAACATTGAAATCTATTGGTAATCAAACAGTATCGTTTTGAACTTACATCCGTTAACGTACATACGTATTTTTGTTTTAGCAGATCGTAAGAGGTATTTTCGGAAAGGGCAGCTGTTACAAAGGATGAGGAGCAGTATATTTACACATGTAATCGGTCCCTGATTTATGGTTGCGAAGAGGGTAGCAGGGGTCTTTGACGCCCCACTTTCAAAGTTCAGGATCTCCGCTCTATTGCGAATTAATCATCGAGGGTAGCAAAGGCCATTCTTTATACTCTTCCACGCTTTAAAGTTTTGTTACTTATTAAAAGTTCAACAGTTCGTTAACTTTCCGATCACTTTCTATAATTATCTTTCTGGCATCTATAGGATGATTCACGTAATCTTTCCATTTATATTACAGTTATTGTTAAGCAGTATTCGATAAGTACTTTAAGGTAATAACATTTTTAATTTTGGTGCATACAATGCAAATGTATTCGCATAGAGACATAAAAGATTCAAAAGTTATGTAATAGAATATGGTGACTTTCTCACGGTCAGCGTTTTAAACCATTACGCGTCGTTTCAAGAGAGACATTAGTAAAACGCAAAGATTTTACGGAATGTTCGTGATCACCATGGGATTTAATGGTGTTGACGCACGTGAAACAAAATGTCACGGGACATTACACTCCCTTCCGGTTCATCTGGCCGATAGCTTTGTCCATGCATGAACTGCTGTCTCTTTCCGATCTTCCCCTCTTCGGACTGTCCCTTCTCTTCCTGTCTCCCTCATGAACATGGTCGCCGGCCTTTGAAATCTATTTTCATTGTATGTAATAGCTTTTTGATGCGGGGACTCAATGCAACGAAGCAAACAAAGTGCATCGTTCGGTTATTGCGGTGCATTGATTTCTGAAAGGCCGACTATGTTAGCTTGATGCGCGCGGCCCGTATATGTATAGCATCGACCGGAAACTTGTCTTCGGTGTTGTCCATTTTCCAGATTGCGAGACAAAATAAAGTAAACGCGTGCCGGGTGAAATAGTCAGATTTCCTTCTACATCCTCCGCCGATAATTTATCGCAGGAAATTCTGCGTGGGGCCATCGAGTCTCTCGAACGACGGCATAGAAGAAACTTGTACATCTATATTTTTTTAATGAAATCGCGTCTCCCTTTGGCTCAATTCTGTCGGATCGAATCATGCAAACCCCTCTTTCTCAAGGGATTACCACAATATAATACAGTCACGGTATTTTCTATACTGTACAACATATGAGTAAGGAAAAAAAGAATTTAGATTTTAGACAAGAATATAACATTTGTATTAGGTTGGTCAAGTAATGTTAAACTTTTAAAATAGACATTTTTTGTTTTTTTTTTTTCGAATACTGCATTTTATAATTTAATTGTTTAAATATTTGTATGTATAAACGAATACATTTGAAACATTGCAAAACATTCCCACTATATTAAAACTTTCATTTAAAATAAATTTTGTTTAGAATACATTTATTATAATATTATCTTGCTTTCGTATGTATATTTTTCAATTAAAATAATATTAAATGATGGGTCGGAAAATACAGCGACGTATTAATAAAATATTTATTTGCATTATCAAAAGCAAAAGAATTGTTTAACGTATTATTTGTAGTGGCTAATTTTGTATTGTATTTATACGATATAATACATTTCAGTATTGATTGCAGTAAAGATATAGAAGAATAAATAATTCGATGTTGTTGCGTTTAATCGTCTCAATGAAATTAATTTTAATTATAAACGTACTTACGTATATTCGAATACGTTTGAATTGCGCGCCGAAAATTGCTAACCATATAGAGTGACGTTAGCTACGATACTCCAAGGGAGAATCGGAAGCAAGAATCGAAAGTGATAATTTCACAGCAGTGCATAGCCCGCGCAAATTCTTCGATACGTGTGCTCATTATTGTGCAAATATTAATTGTAATATTGAATATAATAAATAATTTACAGTTTCAAAACCGAAATAAAGACACGGTGGATTTACTGAATACGATGCACACTTTGGGGGTTTCTTGACATCGATGGTGAGTTATTTAAGAGACATAACATCCGAACGATTTCAATATTTCCAAATATGGCGTGTTAAATTTAGTATATTGAATTTCACATATTTTAAAATGGAATGAAAAACAATTTTACTAGTTGCTTCATATATTTCTGCATTCCATACATGTAACGGAATTTGGTGTGTAATATGCATTGTGGGGAATGTGGATAGTATTGTGTAAATAATTTGAATTTTGAAAAAATATCCTTTTCAAGGAAAAAGCATAACCTTTAACAATGCTAATCGAAGAAGTCAAACATTCTCTTGAATATTTTGTCATTTAAGAAAAAAATCGACTTTCGATAACATTGATATCAAACAATGTAGATTACTATTATAAACTTAAAAACTAAATTATCGTGCACCGTTGCATTCGCTCATGCAAATAACACCTGGGCATGTGCATGAGTTCAGGCAACGAACACGGAAAGATTATTCTGAAAATCCTGACTAGAAAACGTGGTTATTAATAATTAATTAAACGGTATCTATTTATTATTGAATTCTTAGTTAAAATGACTCGAATTGTTATATCTAATATATCAACATCAAAACAGGTTAATATTGAAAAATATTATTATTAAAGAACCCTATTATGATTGAAATTCAAAAC